GGGTCATTCGCCCATTGTTCACAGCCCCTTCCCTGTGCGGAGGCGGTGGGAAAAATCGCCCTCCCAACACAAGCAGCAACGACGGCTAATTTTTCGGTGAGGTTCCAATGGACTCGGACAAAGATGGCGGAAGCTTAAACTCGGTCTGTCTGCTTGCGACTGCGACCGTCCGTCCACCGTTCGTTCATTGTTGACGGTGGTGATGATGTAAACACAAAGGTAAATCACCCCCCGCCACGGGCAAAAAAAACTATCAAACGTCTAAAGGGCAGCTATGAATTTCCCCCCAAGTGCGGTGGCGGTGTAAACAAATAACATGATGAATTGGAGTTTGAAATGCCTTTCGAGCACGAGTGGTGCTACTTTCGACTACTTCGGATATTCGGGAGCAAACAACAATGGCTTCTAAATTTTGACTGCTCTCCGTTGGTGTGGAGAGGTCCGATGAAAGTGAAATTGCTGCCGGATTAATTCAGTCTAATTACTTTCACCCGTCTTTTTACGAGGGTTTGCGCCAATAGTGAGAGGCTGGCTATGTCGTCGCTCTAGGTCTTTAGGAACTGGCAGTGAGAAGGTGATTTAGTTTCGTGTGTCCGAATTGGTTGATGTTTGTTAAGTCAACTAGATATGCAACTAAGTACGGTATATTGATATACAATAGAAATTTCGCTTCGCCCAATGTTACAATACAAGTCAAAAAATGCCTCCCTTTTCACGTTGAAGACTTAAAGGGTGATGCGGTCAAAATTTGGTCAAGGGAAAACGCGTGTAAATCGGTGAAATCGTTTATTTAAAAAATCAAATTAAATTTCTTTTTCAAGTTCAATTAGTATAAAATTCAGGAAAAATATTCAGTTAGGCTTCCGCATTTCCAAATCCGAATTGCCGGGCCTTACGCTTGACCCCTGCCATCAGATTTTGTACAGCCACCTTGTCCACCTTCTTCGCCGCAGAAAGCCAGTTTGCCTTGAACTGCTGCTCGCCCTTAGCAGTTTTTTTGGTCTTCTTTAGGTTCCGCTTGACAATAGCCCAGTATTTCTCAATTGGGCGGAGCTCTGGCGTGTTGGGAGGGTTCTTGTCCTTGGGAACCACCTGCACGTTGTTGGCGGCGTACCACTCCATGGCCTTTTTACCGTAATGGCAAGATGCCAAATCCGGCCAAAACAGTACGGAACAACCGTGTTTCTTCAGGAAAGGCAGCAGACGTTTATTAAAACACTCTTTCACGTAAATTTCTTGGTTGACAGTCCCGGAAGCTATGAAAATGCTGCTTTTCAAGCCACAGGTACAGATGGCTTGCCAAACCAGATATTTCTTTGCGAACTTTGACAGTTTCATGTGCTTGAAAACATCTGCTACCTTTCCCCTTCCTTTTGCCGTATAAAACTCCTGTCCCGGAAGCTGCTTGTAGTCGGCTTTGACGTAGGTTTCGTCGTCCATTACCACGCAGTCAAACTTCGTCAGCATCGTCGTGTACAGCCTCCGGGATCGCGCTTTGGCCGTCGTATTTTGTTTATCATCGCGATTTGGAGTCACTACCTTCTTGTAAGTCGATAGTCCGGCTCGTTTTTTGGCTCGATGCACGGTTGTAGACGATACAACCAGCTTATTTGCGGCATCTCGGAGAGAGAGGTTAGGGTTTCGCTTGAAACTACCGGCAACTCTCTTTGTCGTCTCAGCGGCTTCCGGTTTTCGATTTCCCCTCGATCCAGACTTCCTGGCTGTCGACAAACGTTTCCCAAACACTTTAATTACATTTGTAACGGTTGATTTGGCAACTTTTAGCGATTTTGCCAACTTTGCGTGCGAGTAGCTCGGATTTTCGCGATGCGCGAGCAAAATTTTGATACGCTGCTCTTCTTGCTTGGACAGCATTTTGACAACTGAAGAGTGAATTCCAAAATCAAAATAGGAGCAACATTCTACACACACACACCTTCAAAATGAGGGGTGTTCAGGTTTTTTAAATGCAAAATTGAAAGAAATACGTCAAGTTGATATTGACCAAATTTTGACCGTATCACCCTTTAGTCTTTTTGCATATTGAGCAGCGAAACAGTTCGATGGCCATTCTTATAGAAAATTTTCTCAGCTACAACTTTGCTGAAGATTGTTTCCATGTAAAACGAGACAGGAAAATGTTATTAATTATTTAAGAGATTGGTAAACTTATGACATGATCAAGCAGCTGCTCTGTAGGCAACACTGTATTTTGCAGTGTGCCATAGTAGCCATGATTTTTGTGTCCTATTCAACGCCCCAGAAACACCAATGTTGCCTGGTGAGCAGTTGATTGAGCATGATCATAAGACATCAGCGCATTGAACCATTGATAACTTTCGATCCTTGCATTTAATCAAAAAGTGGTCTTGAGCAAGTTGTAACTGGGAAAATTTCCTACAAGTACAAATGAAAGTTTTTGAGGCAGACCGATATGGTGAAGTATTAGATATACATGAACAAAAATCTTGGAATTACCATAGTAATTCCCATACAAACTTCAAATGCCATTGTGCCATCTCAGTTTCTCACCAAATGGGTTCAAAATTTGAGAGGTTAGTCAGGATCCAATTTGGAATCGTTTAAGTATTGGGGAGCGAAAATTTCAAATTTTGCATCACTCTAATGGCTATGTTGAACTCGATGTTGCTAAGGGTCGGTGATTGCGGTGATATTAGTGATCGGCTTCGATGCTTCGTTGACTGTGTTGAACTCGTTGTCGTTGCTAAGGGTTGATGGTTGGGATTGTATTGGTGGTTGGCTTCGGTGTAACTGTATATTGAATAAAGAACGTGAAATTAAGGCACCGAAAATTATATAAAATACATACAAATAAGAATACAGGTGAAGGTAATAAATACGAAAAATAAAACCACGGCATGCATCAAATAAATCAAAACTACAAGGGACAGCCCTATGGGGTTGAACGCAATGGCGACGAAGGACTACGTGGTCTTATATAATAAATCTTGACTGCAGCCTTCCGTTGTGTACTGGAGAACAATGTTCAACGCCAAACGCTGAAAGCACTACTGCTGCTGATGCCGACGACTGGACATTACCACACACGGTGATTAGACTGAATCCGATCAGCGGTTGAGGGCAGCTTTGATGGCTAGCTGCTTCTGGGGAGCCTTTAGTTGTGTACTGGAGAACACCACCACTCACCACGCGGGGATTGAATAAACACCGTTTGGTGAGACCGGATGGAATTCAACTTTGACATCTGTGTTAGGAATATCGCTTTTCGCAGGCAATCGGTGATAATTTTAAGTATCATATCAACAGTTGCACATTCATGCATTTTTCAATAGTAACATTTTTAAAATGATAAAGTGTTGCGTAGAATGCGTAGGAATATTTCTGATCGATTGGTGATAAAATTATTGAAATTGGTCCAGGGGCAGTTGCGTTATTAACGTTCAAAATCTTTCATAATTTTGTTACATGTTCCATTTTCGGTTTTCATAAAGTGTACCCCCATATAGAAATCACAGACGTAGTCCTACGTCAAAACAAGTTAAAGCATGACTATAATTTGCAAAAATCTGTAAATGTCACTGTCAAAAATGAAAAGTCTGCACATTTACAGGCATGTCTTCAAAACTGGCATCACTGCTTCCCAATTTCCACAGAACAGCATCTGTGTATGCGATGATTTATAATAGATGTCCCATGTTTCCTATGCATACCTGCAAAAGAATCTTGCATTTCCTGGTTGAGTTTATCTTGAAGCTACTATCTACTGTTTTTTTTTATTTGTATTGAAATTCAAACAAATCAAATGCACCATCCCCTCTCACTCAAAGATCGTAACAAGCTACAAGATCAACTTCCTGAACCGAATTGACTGAGACCGTTCACCCAAAACATTGCCGGAAGCACTTGTTTACGGCCCGTTCGTACCGAATAAATCACAGACCGTCATCCTCAAAACAAAAACAACAAAAATAACAACAGCGAACACAAATCAATTCCGGAAGAATCGCGTTCGGGGAGGAATGTTATCGACGAAAAACAAAACAAAAAACCCTAATCGAACGAACAAACGAACGAAGCATCATCACGGTCATCCCGTGGGAATGTTGGCACCGATTCGAAAGGGACAAACGCGAACACTTGTTGTTTCCCTTTCTTGAATTTCCCTAATTTAATTAATCTACCGGGAAGTGCGCGCCCTCCGCTCGCCTCCGATAGAATGGAATTGTTTCCTCGCCCTGATGGCTCCCCAAGTTCAAGCGGATCTTAAAAAAGCGTAATTATTCATTCATCGTCGTTTGTTCTTCATTTTTTTTTTGTCTAACCATACTCCACAACTGGAGAGTCTCGGCCCGGCCCCCCCGGATGGATGGCCGTTGAGATTGAGTGGTCAAGTTGTTAGCACTCGTTCGCTGAAGAGTTCTCGAAGAGTTGTAGCGCAGCACCACTTTGCCACTTCAGCTTAGTTCAGAAGCTTTTCCTATTGTGAGCGGAGGAATTTTTAATTTCAATTTAGAGTTCGCTGAGCGAGATGGCATTGTGAGCTAATTGAACTAGCCGCTAGTACTGAACGTGTGAGTTGATTGAAGAATGCAGTCGTCGTCATATTGGTCCGCAAAGTTGAGCTCAGCTGCATCCCCTGGCATGCGGTGAAAAATCAGGCCACGGTGAATGAACGTTAGAGCGGCGGAAAACGATCCGGTTTTTACTGTAATTGGTCAATTAGCCTTCAAATGCTTCGACACCAACAAGGTAGTGTCGTATGCGAAGACGTCACCAAGCATTTCTCTCTTTCTCCCAGTCAGTGGAAGACTTCGATCACCGTGGAGTTTACCCCCGCGGGTAAAACTGCACGCAATAAATTATCCATCATTAACGAGTTGTCGGACGCCGGCGGTGGGCACCAAGTGGCGGCACACTGCTGCTCGAATGCCTCCGGGAATTTGGCAACCACATTCAAAAAAACACAAACCCACATGAAACTAACCATTGAAATTCTTCTGTTTGCCTTCACTTTTCAGATGCTGAAGCACGTGCAGATTTCGCCAATGCGTAGCCGGTCCGATTCGCTCTCGATGCGGTCGTCGACCTCCTGTGCGTCTTCTCTGTGCGGAAGTCCTGAACCACCGAACGAGCAGCTCCGCAGCCACTCCCGGGCGTCCAGCTATTCCAGCCTGAACGAAACCATTCCGCAGGTGAGTTGAAATCGCAGAAGTGCATCATTGCAGTCGGTTAGGAATCAAGTGACAAGTGGCATGGAACGTACGTTAAGGGCATCTTCATCACTCCATCGGTGTTTTTAAACTATTTTCTGAGTGTCAAATCATCGAGAGAGTCAAGCCCTATCCTAACAGTAAGCGTCCAAAAACTGATAAAGACACCGTTCAGCAGCCGTTTTTCTCCTAATGACAATTTCCTCTTGGCAAACCTTGTTCCGCAGCACAATTTTTCCTGTCAATAGATCAGGTTCCACCACTCCAACAATAGAGTACTTAATTTTGAAGGATGCTTTCGGCAAGCACTCGATTTTAATGAGGCCTTAATTATTGTCATTATGGCCGGGGGAGGATGAATACTTCCAAGTGCTTTTCTAGCGCCCTCCTTCCGTCACTCGCCAGGCGGAGGGCAGAACAATTTAGGCGAAACTTTTGCAACCTGCACACCACCGGCCAAAAGCTCATCGGCGTCGTTCATAATTATTATCTATTGTTGGTGCAATCAAGAATCTCCCTTCGCTCAACGAGTATACGAGCTACCAAAGCCGCTCATCGGTCTGACTGTGGCAAAATTTAATTATGCAGCTTCCCTCCCTAGAACTGCGGTGGTGGCATTGCATTGTAACAAAATTGAATACAGAATCCGCGTAAAAACTCGCACACATACAACACTCAGTAGTATTCAATCTCCCACACGCGAACGTAACACAGTTATGGGTCTAATTTGTTGGGCCAATATGGGGTGGCGCTGCGGTCGTCGTAATTTCATCGGAGGGAGCAGAGTTCATGCGTCTTTTGTTTTCGCAAAAAAAAACTCCATCAACTGCGGTGCACGGCCGCGCGGTTGCTCCACCAATGAACCATAATTGCGAAATATGACTAATTAAATCTCACTCTGCTGTTTGCTTGGCTTCGTTTTTTTTTTGCGGCTGCAATTTTTGCTCCACATCTCCTCGGTTGGATGGGCTTATCTTGAGTCTGATAGTTTTTTTTTTGTTTGCCCCTGTTTACTCTGCCAGCGACGGAGATTTCCCAGGCTGTATGAGTGATTGAGAATCCGAGGAATTCAACGGGGGACAGCGATGATGGCCCAAATACCCAGCCGCAGTAAGAGTGAATGCCGCGGAACGATAGAAGAGAGGATGACGGTTGTTGGATGTCATTTTTTTTGCCAATGAAAATCGAAAGTTTTGTTTCCGGTGCTGGTGCTAGTCTGGTACTCGGCGAACTGGGTAGCGATGTGGTTGCGACAGTTTTGTGGTGGTCAACGAACTGGTTTGATTGGAAGCTAGCCAGCTATCTGATCAAGGTGATTTGAAGTAGTAAACCTTGAACTTGGATGGTAGTTTAATGAAGTTTTATTGGAGTAAGGAGCTCTGAATGAATCGGTTAGTTACGGAACTGAACTGACCCCTTTTTTCATTTTTATATGGAGCAGGGAAAGGCCCACTGGAGTAGAACATTACAATGAAGCCCATCTTCTAGCAGACATAAAACCTCCTCATCATTTCTTAAATTACAAAAATAAGTTCAATTATATTTCCTCATGACAAGAGACATCTCTTGTGAGTTTGCACTCTTTTAAAGAGATTCCAAGCTAAAGATGTCGTAGTGAAGCAGATATTGTCGTTCTGGTAGAGAGCTGGTGTTCAATCAGACTGAAGGGCAGATGATTACCGCTGGTAATGTTCAAACAGCTAAACGTGAGGACCGAAGGATGCCAAGCTAACATTGTGGATCTGGAGCCATTTGTTGCAAAAGCAAGCTGACAGAGAGCTCGTGTTCAACCAAACCGTAGAGCAGATGAGGGTCGGTGGGAGCGTCGACTCAGCTAGACATTGGAAACTTAGTATACCATGCTGACAGAGAATTGGTGATCAATCAGACCGAAGGGCAGATGATGACTGCTGGGAGCGTTGGAACAGCTAAACGTCAGGAACGAAGGATGCCAAGCTAGTGAGCTGATGATCAACCAGACCGAAGATGATGGCCGCTTGGAGTGTCGACTCAGTTACATGTCGGGGCGTAGGATGCCATGCTATCAATGTTGCTGACAGAGAGTTGATATTCAAACCGATCGAATGACAGATGAGGGCCGGTTGGAGCAACGATTCCACTAGACGTCGAAATCGTAGGATGCCTTGGATGCCAAGCTGACAGAGATCTGGTGTTGAACCAGACCAAAGGACAGATGAAGGCAGCTGGGAGCGTTAACTCAGATAGACATCGGAAGCGTAGAATGCCATGCTGATAGAGAGCTAGTGTTCATTCAGACCGCTGAGAGCGTTGGAACAGCTAATCGTCGGAAGCATAGGATGCCAAACCATCTACCATGTGGATCTGAAACCATTTGTTGGACAAACCATTAGGGGCGCAGTATCACACCAGTCTTAGTTACCTGGCAGAGAACTGGTGTTCAAGCAGGTCGAAGGCAAGATATGGCCGCCGGCGATTTACGGCAACGTAGATAGTGCGAGATACGAAGCTTTATATGTTCGCCTTGAACAGATCAGTGGATTGTTGTTGTTTGATTACTGTTTGGATCTCGTTGTACAGTTTACCACCATGGTAACCAAACCGTTTTTTCCGAGTTCTGAATGGGTTCGGACCAATCGAATGCTACCGTTGAATCTACTAAATCTTTTTGAAAGGTTCATTGGGACTGTCGTGTTGAGATGTGTGGCTGGATTTGTTACATGTGTGTTAATGTCTGGAACACTTGAAGTCCTCGAATTGGTAAAAGCGAGCTCTGCAGGTTCCGTTGGGTAAAGGTGCGGTTTTTTAAAGATGACTTTCAAGCTACGGTTTTGTAGTACCTGAAGTCCTCGTAGCCTGGACATGCATGCGGTTCCCCATAAACCCACTTAATATTGTAGCCACGAGTCAACCAATGAATAATAACAGTTCATCATACAGTTCGTTGGAACGAATGGTGATATTTTTCGAAACACTCCACACAATACCGACAGTTTGTTGTTGTTGTTTGTTCAATGTGATGCTTCCAGCTTAGGATACTGTCCAAAATGAGACCCAGATATTTGAAGTGGTCCACTTTACAAATTTCAATGGCCTCAACTTGTACGCTCGGAAGTTCTGGAACTGGTCGTCTTGAAGAGTGGAAAACCATATATGTGGTTTTTTGCAGGTTAAGTGATAAAAGGTTTGAATGTATTGTACTGTTAAATTAACCTCAGAAGATCTGTACCCACAAACTGTATCGTCCGCAAATAGCTGGATTCGCCCATGAAGATTCAAGCGAGATAGATTGTTTATGAGCACCAGAAATAACAACGGACCTAAGTTATTGTCTTGTGGAACTCCAAATTATATTTTCTTGGGATCACTTCTCCCATCGTTGACAAAGACAAATTGCTGCCGGTTAAGATAGGCAACTTCAAGGCTGGTAGCGAGTCATTTTTTAGTGACTTGGTCACTTTTTTCAAGCCGGTCACTTAAAAGTCTCTTTTTTGTAAGGCCACGTCACTAAAGTCACTTTTTCTTGTAATCAGTCACTATTTTCAGCTTTTTTAGCGTGAATTTATTTCAAGATTGATCATTAGTTGCTTTGTGCCGTTTAATCGTCTTTCTCTATCTACAAGGTGTCCCTGATTACCTGAGTTTTCCAAGTTTTTCCAGTACTTTAACGGATAAATTCCAGTTTTATAATAAAAAAGCTATTTTGAAATGTGTTAAAAATATGCTTTTTTTTGTGGACCAAAAATAACAGCAATTTACCCAAACGTTTTTAAGACATGGCAATCAGTTTAAAAGAAACAGCTTAACAATTAAATATATTGACTGTTGAAGTTTAACACTTACTTAATTTCTCACTTAATAAAGTTAAAACCTTACTTAATTTGAGTAAATCCAAGCTTAAACTACGAGGAACTTACTGAAAGCTTTAAGAACCTCAAAGCGGTTCTTTTAGCATCTGAAAATTTGGGGAACTTTTATGAAGTTCCTAGAATTTCAGAGAACTTTACAGGTGTCAAGCAATCTTGATAAATATAGAAAACATGAGCGGTATTGTGCAGATTTTTAAGAAGTTCCAAGTACCTCAGAAAAGCTAGATCTAGAGATTTTTGGGGAATTTCAGATCTTAATAGCAGTTTCCAGACTTTTTGGAGCAGTTTAAAGATCTATAATCGGTAAATTTAGAAAAATTTAGAATAGTTCTATGATGTGCTGAAAAAAAATCGAGAACCCTTAAGATGTTCCGAGAACTTCAGGGAAGTACAGAGCCCTTCAGAGAATTTATAAAACTTCAGAAAAATTTCAGAAACTTCACAAAAGTCCAGAGAATTTCAAGGAAATTCAAAGGTGTTTACGGGAATTCCATTAATTTCCGAGCAGCAGAACCAAAATCTTCAATAGAATTGAAAGCTTGAGGGAAGCTTCGAGAACTTCAAGACAGATTAGAGAATCAAAGGGCAGTTCAAATAATTTCAAGGAACCTTAAAGAAGTTGCGAGAAACTCAGGGAAGTTCCGAAAACTTCAGCAGCACCGAGAGAATTTCTGGAACGTGATAAAAATTATATGAACATCCAGAAAACGTGAGAGTATTTTAAGCGTGTTATATCATGGAAATTTCAAGAACTTAAAGCCTCAGGCTGAAAGCCTCCTTAATTAAGATCAATCAATCAATCAATCAAGAACTTAAAAAAACGCAAAAATTTAGCTTAATTGATTAGAGAAAATCAACACATTTCAGTTAATTAAAAAACGAGAACTTTTAGCAAGCAGTGATATCTTCAAGAAATTCCAGAGAACTTCTAATCAATTTAGATAATTTCAATAGTTTCAAGATATTCAGCAAAGTTCCGAGTACTTCAAGGACGATCAGATAGCTTCAGAATAATCCTATTACTTAAGCAAATTAGCAGAGACTTACAAGAATTTTCCGAGTTATTAATCAAATTTAGAGAACTTCAGGTGACCATATATAAGTTCAGGGAAAATTAGTGAGCCTTTATAATGG